TTTTTTTATGAAACATCGCCTGTTCATGAACCGATCTGTCTATGAAATGTAGTTCCATGAACTGATTGCACCGCCAATGAGGGGCGACTAGTGGTAGAATTTTGGCGAAACAATTCTGTCAGCTGCCGGGAGACTGGACACTACCCAAGAATTACCCCGGTTGTTGCTTGCTTTGCAGTCTTTTTAATTGTACCACAGCTGAGTAGTACCTCTTCACATATTACGAATTGCTGAGATTGTGCTTGTCTACAGAATAAGCTGTGTGTAATAAACTGTTAGGAGATTTCAAAACAATCCCTTGTGTCTGTTTACCTTCCTTTTTGCAAAGAACTTGGCTAGGGCACTTGCAAAGAGCTGGGCGAGTGCAACGATGGCCAAAAATCAGCATGACGGCCAACATTGGATGGGGTCGCGATTCCAGTGTTGTCCAATATTACGCCGGTCTTCGCCAATGTGGGAGCACCTTGGCTGGAACCATGGTTTAGCGATGGCCCAACATTGGCACCAATGATGGGGCCAACATCGGCTGAAACGATGGCTGAACATTGGCCCAACATTGGCATATATCACTGGGCCAACATTGGAAAGGGTAGCGCTTCCAATATTGTCCCATATTGAGGCCGGTCTTTGCCAATGTTAGGCCAATGTCGGACCGACATTGGTGTGCCGCCTGGGTCTCTATCGCCCCACTCCCCCCACTCTCCTCCCCCCCCCCCCCGCCCCCCCCCCCCGAATTTGCAGCGAAAGTGTAGCTACAAGACGTAGTTAGTTCACGTGACACCGTAGCGTCTCGTGACCTGACGTCACGTGAATGGGTCATGCGACCCGTAGTTGCCAAACTCACGTGAATGGCGTACGTGTTCTACATACCACAATTTTCTCACTTTTCACTAATTTGGTACTGCTTTTCCACACTCCAGCTATTTCATTAAATGAAACAATCGCCGTGAACCATTCCTGTAAATGTTCACAGCAGTTAAAGAAACATGTATTAAAAAAATTCGCCGAATACTCGGAGAACGAGACCGCTATAAAAAATCGATAAAAAAAGTGTCGTTAGCCGCAGTAGGTTCAATATATCTCCGTCAAGACCCCAGGTTGCAGTCGACGCGGCAACACCGTGGCACACCTCGGCGATCAGAATAAATCACGTTGTGAAGCCGCGCAATCGGAACCCACCTCTCCCCAATAATAACAAATTGAGATTGGGCAGTCGTCAATGAGGCCTCGACTGAAGAAAAGAAGACGAAAAAAAAACAAACGAAATACAGCTTTACTTTTTGAACTGAATGACATGTTCGATTTCTTATTTTAGAGTTCTTTTTAATAAAAATGACTCTGGGAACGTAAGATGGCGGAACGAGAAGGGGCGGAAAGGTGATATCTCAACTCAATTTGTCATGTTGGAATCGGTCGCTGTACGTTGCACAACAAACGACAACAGCAACAACAAATATCGTCGAGGTTTCGGAGACGTTTACGACTGCCTTCTTAGATTACAGAGCGCCTTCGCGGCCGGGAAGAACGAAGGGTGGCGGCGGCGATGGAAATGCGTGAGGAGAAGCGAGCGAGCGAGCGATTTGATAAACTGGAGTTCGGATAACTTCGAATAAGGAGGAAACGCCCCTTGCTGAAGTAATCGGTTTCCTACGCAGGGTTGTATCGCCCGCACCGCGTGCTCTGGGCCACCTGTCAACCGCCGAAACCTGTTTTCCACCTTTAGAAAGAAACATTCTAAATGGTTTCTTAAAAGAACGCGTAAAAACAAAAAGCTAAAAAAAAAAGAAAAAAAAAAGGTTGTTGCTTAAACAATTACACCATCTTCCCGAGGGGAACCATGGGGTGATGCGGAGCATCGCGGATCGTTATTAACGGTGTTAGTATTGTCGTTGAACTTCACGGTCCCGAACCTCAGGTTCTGCTGCTCGCCGTTCTCGGACCGCCGCTGCTTCACGTTGTCGTAGTTCAGCATCCGCCGCTCGACGTTGACGAATGGACGCCGCTTCTCGTTGCCGTAGTTCAGGGTCTGCCGCTCGCTTCAAGCGTTTGCGCTCAGCGTCGCGTGCCCTTCGCTGCGCAGCTTTGTCTTCAGTGGACGTAGCGTTGCTGTTAGTTTGTGGGGTGGTGCTGGCGCTTGCTTGCGCCAACCCACTAACTGACGGGACTGTTGCTTCCATCACACTTCATCGGAAGAACGGAGTGGAGTCAACAGCGGGTGAACTGAACGCGCGCAGCGCGCTACCGCTGCTTATATCCACACTTGAAGGAGAGGATACTAGAGGAGGAAAGTTGCGCATGCGCGCGCGGTGTGAGTAGAAGCGAACGCACGCGAACTGCACGCAGCTGGTAGAGAGAGAGAGAGAGCGGAGAGAGTAACGCGCAGCTGTTGGAGAGAGGGAAGGAGGAGAGTTGCGCATGCGTAGTGTGAGTGCGGACTACGACGCCGCGGGACATAGACCCGAGCAAGAGATGCTCCGCATCTAAAACATTTTTAGTAACGGCCCACGTCGTTGTAATCGGACATAGGGATTCAGGTGAATTATCTTAGCATCGGTACTCTGCATTATAAACAACAAAGAATAAAAAAAATGTGTTTCTTTTTCTGTAGAAACCAGACTCACAAACACGGTGAACAGCAAGAAAGATCTCGGCGAATGACTAAGCTCAAAATACGATTGGACCGAAAAACAAAATACGGCGCCCGCAGAGACAAGGGGCATGACGCTTCACTTTCTTATCGTCCTTGCGCACATCGCAGGTTTCAGATTTAATCTTGTTCTGAACGCCTTGCTTTGGAATCCTTCTACCATGCACTGTGATTGGCTACCTTTGTGATGTGCAGATAAGTAAACTCAGTCGTTTTTTTTTTTTGTTTTTTTTTTTTTTAATTTAGAGTGCGCTTTACTATATCTGGGCGCGAGTGAAACTGAAGTTGAAAACTTAAGCATTATTGTACGGAAAGATGAACGCACTTATGAAGAAGACATGCTCAAAGCGCGGAGCCGCTTGCGAGTAACTGAACAGTAGTCAGGGGGGAGCGCGGTAAACAAATTAAGCCGGTCGCCATATTTATTCGATGGCAAGTGGTGATTAGTAGAGCTCGGGACTCGTCTGCCATCCTCATTCTCAATCAAACCTTGATTGACTTAAAAAGTGAATGCGTCATCCATCCGCAGTCCAGCGGCAAATACAACCAGTGGCACTAGTCGGCAGCGAGAGGAGTGACTCCGCGGTTGGATGAAGTAGTCAAGGAAGAAATGAAAATTGGGAAGTAATTTATGTTGGGCTTCTCTCTACCACAACTCACTTTGTAGACGCGGTAATTGTCGGCCGCAGCGCAACGACTAACCCGCAGGCGTTTGGGAAGCTCGTGATTTATTTTGGCAATACATTTCAGCTCGCCAATTGTCCGCGCATTGAAAGGCGTTCAACGTACATTCTTCAACGCATTACCGTTGGTGCAACGACACCCGCTCTGGCGAAAGTGGGTAACAGATCTTATTCCATTTCGCAACATTACGAGTTCGCAAATGCCTCGGCGATAAATTGTAATCAAAGAGCAGGTACCGCTCTGTTTCACTATAGTATGTGCAATCACGACTGGCTTCGAGAGACTGTTGAACGCGTTTACATTGCTTGATGTAAATTTGAAAATGATCAATCGATTTTAATTATGAGCGCTCGCTAATGACGTGTACGGTCTTTAACGACATATGTCCCAAATTTTGTTACTGGTGTTGCGCGTTGTGTTCCAGATAGTTATGTGTAACCTATCGTGATACGCTTGAACGACCTGTGACAAATTTGCTGCGTTTAGTCCACGCAAGTTTTCACGAAAATTGAGTGACGACATGCGAAAACCAGTTAATTCCAATTTGCTCCTTTTTTATTTATTGCTACGTTCTATAGTCGGTTACAAGTCAAGAATGTACGAGAAGCTCCTCCCATAAGCGTGATGCACCCGTCTCAAATCCATCCGCAGTCGAAAGAATAGTTCCCTGGAAACGCCCCTTGTTCCGCTTCAATGAATAGATAATGGCCACAGAGAGATTTTCATACGTGATGATTGAAACCTGAAACTCTGGTTTGAAAAACGGGAACCTGTGAAGTAGGAAGGAAAAGGAACCGTCTCAAACTCATCTAAAAACATTATTGCCTCTACGTCTTATATACACCTCCCCCAAACGTCGCCACCACCACAACGGTTGATCACCAAACTACAAACGATACACAAGAATCACAACACACCGAACCGCAAAAAATACATAAAAAACACATGTCCCTTTTTTCTTTCTACTTCCCGAGTTTCCATTTTTCAAACCACAGTCTCAGATTTCAATCATCATCTATAACTTTCACCAGCCCGCCTGCGCCTTAACCGGTTTTTTATTTACAGAGAGATGCCAACTTGTCACCGACCCCCACTTTTTAAGAAAGTGACCTTTGTATTCATCGGAGAGGGAACCAAGCCTCCGAAAGTGGTCTTGTATCCATCGGAGGGGGAACCTAACCCCCAAAGTCGTTTTTTTTCCATCGGAGGGGGAAAATCCTAATCTCCCTCTCGTGGCTTTCACAACGCTAAGGCAAAGTCGAAAGCTAAAGCAAATATTCACAGGAAGGCAAAACCCTCTCCAGCGTTGGCTACGACGTCACGGAAATGATGGGACGCTATTGGATGCCGAGGTGGCGGAGGAATATATGAATCCCTTTGGGGGAGGGGCATTTGCCACTACCTTCTTGACCTGTAACTTACTATAGCATGTTCTATTTTTTTTCATAAGAATGTACTGTAACCAAACATGGCTACACCTCCTCCCCGAATATATATATATTTACACACCTCTCAGTTTGTCGCTGAATGCGCAAACGCATCAGTCTCAAGACAGCATTCGTTCGTGCCTATCTCTTGTATCCAGACCTTGAGTTATTCGCTCACACTACAAAGAATTAGAGAGCACGAAGCTACTTGGACGGAGCAACGCTGAAAAATGCTGACTCACCTCCTGTTTGATGTCGCACTCGAGTTCGTGGTAGGCCATCCGAATCTGGAAGTCGAGGCTGTTGACCACGTCCGTGACGCATGAGTTGGGCCTAGCCTTGGCGTACACCTTGCCGTTGAAGACCTTGCTGGTCTTCACCTTGGCCACCATTTCCCGAGCCTTGCACTGGATGGTCACTGAAAGGTGACGTCCAAGGTCGTTGACGCCTTGCCGAAAACCGACTTTCACAAAGAACGTTTCCGTCGATTGATTCACTGCGCTGCTCGAGATCGTTCATTATGAGGATACATGACGGATTTTCGGAATGAAAGAGAATGTTAATGAGGATTTATGTATAATTTACAAGCTTTTTTGTGAGCTAAGACACTAGACATTTGTCAAGGCGTTCTGTGCACGAGAAGATTTTTGTGTCGACTAAGCACCAGGTACGGACTATGCATCATGTGCGGACAATAGCCCGGAAAATACGGTATATCTCGGTTATCTTCTGTTTCATACTTTCGTCACGTGTCCATTAATTCTCAGATGCGCTCTGAGTGAAGACAGTACTTTCCTCTGGTGCTCCGAAGGAGAATACTACTTTCCCAACACATTCTAACCGGCAGTCAACAGTATAGTTCGGCTGTAACGGTATCATTTACATTGTTACCAAAGTTAAGGAGATTCAATTGCTAAGTTCTCGACATACTCTTCTAAAGGCCATTGAAACAATTTACAGTAAAGAAAAAAACAACAACAAAGGGTCAGAGCAAAAAACGTTAGTCGAAGGAGTATGCGTCAAGAACGTTTCCGTTCAAGTGCTTCTCCACTGCCGGAGGGATAATTTGAAGGACTGCCTCACAAAATCTCTTCACCGCAAGCACGGGATTCCACTCCATTCAAAAATATCAACACAGTGAAAGAACAACATTGCCCGAAGACTCGCAGTCATTGTTCGGCCCTTCCCCGCGATTGGCTCGCTGAAAGCCGCCTTCGTACCATTACCCTTTGACCCCAGACCCCTTCCTCCACACAAAGGAGTGTACCTCAGAAGTTCGAGTTAGTTCCGCCTGCTGAGCAAAACAAACGACACAGAAACCGCTTCCCTCCGATGCTTCCTAGACGCAAGGCGTCATCAGGCCAGAGGACTGACATCACGCCGAGCAGAAGAAAAAACGACAACAACAACAACCCTTTCTTCGACTGGTCAGTGACGGCATCACCGGGAGCTGGACGGTTTATTGCCCTCTTCGCGGGGAGCCAGCTCCGTCCAAAGCACCGATCAACTTCGGAACCCCATCCACGTACGTTCTGAGTCATGTCCAGAATAAACTCAAGAAGAGCGACGCGCGAAGATAGCGGAGCCTTAAGAATTCCAGTCGACGAGCGTGTCCGACCGTCCGTATCGAAAGGTATTAGAATGAGACAATCTGCTCGGGCAGGGCGTTTGGGGGAAACCCTGCGCTAATACGTGGGCCCACGAATTATACGAGACATGCGACGCCGATCGGACCGCTCGTGTTTTGGGGGCGAGTTTGGGGTGAACGATTGCTTGATGTCTTTTCGGGGGTGCCAATGTCCCCGGCCTTCTTAGCGCACCGGTTTCTCGATTTTCTGCACGAGCCCGAGGCGGTTGAAGACGTGTCTAGGATAACCGAATGATGACGTCCATTGAATCGTAAAAAAGAAAAAGAGGCCCGGATTAAAAAGAAAGGGCGCATTCTTGGTTTTGCTACCTTTTAGTGTCTTCAGGAATGCGAGGGTTCCACAATACGTTGAGAATTTTGTTTCGATTCAAACGCGTTGCGTGCGGCCCTAATGATTCGCGTTAACGGTGGGCAACTTAGGTGGTCCCCAGTGAAGGTAGGGGATGGGAGGATAGAAGTTTGGCACGCGACATCTCGAGACGCCGGGCTCGATAATGGTTGACGTGGTTATTCATCAGTTTCCCAAGGACCAAAGTGTCGGTTGTCAGAACGCGAATCAAAAGACAACCTGTTTTTGTTGCTACAATTACACAGTTTTGTGTCGCGGCTGGTGATCGAGAACTTGAGATTTATTGACGAGCGAGGCGCAACAACATCGAGACAACTAGCTGCCTTCAGTGATAATTTTGGTGAACAAAGTTTTTAAAGAAACTGTCACCTCTCGGAATGACTGCTAACTTTGCTGGTTTCAAGAGTGTTAGAAGATTGACGTCTTCTTTATCCCCAGGTTATGTTGCCGGAAAAAACTTTGGAAATAAGGTGACAACGACTGTTCGCTTAAGGAGCTCCTCCACTGCAAGGCTTGAGGGTTCCCCCACCTTTTCTCAAGGAGATTCAGACAGAAGAAAATACCCCTTTTGTTTTTTTGCAAAGCAGCTATCACTGATGGTTAACAGCGCAAGAGGTTTTACATACGTCTAGTGTGGTGCACTAGACGTAGCAGAGAAAACAAACAATTTGAGCTACGTTCAGTAAGGTGCGCCCTCGCTGAACTCAGTACCAGGAACACTATTCCGAATACCATGAATTTCGAATGTTGGGTTTTATACATGGTACACGTATAAGATATGTATGCATCACACATGTATGATATTTGGTGTGGAAAACATGTCTTTCCCACCAGCGAAGTCTCAGGTACGAGTATTCACAGTTGATATCCGTTCATCGCTTCCCCGCAGATGGAATTACCTGCCTTTGATTCTCCAGCTTTTCGATGATTTACCTCGCAGTTTTGTTTGTGGCAATGAACATTTACTGGCAAGAATATCAAACAAACCCATTTGATGGCTGTAAGACTGAGCACTAAGGTTCGTGCTAATCATGATTTGCTATGACTGTAGTCTTGCCACTTTCTAGTCGCGTATCAGCTGTCGTCAGCGGGTCTCAAGATTAGCCAAATGGCAATGTATAACTCTTGAATCCGCCGTTGACGACCTGAGAAAAAAAAACAACTTAATATGTGGTTTAATCGATTGAGCTACTACACTGCTGCTTTTTTTCCAATGCGGCAATATTGCATCTTCAGTCAGGCAATGTCTCGTTTTCCTGTGAGTGTATTCACAAAAGGGCAAATGTGAGGTCGCTGTTCACAGCGCATGCTCAGAAAAAAGCTCCTATTATTCGTCTTCCAAGAATAGACATCTTGATTCGGTCTAACGCATGTTTATGCGCGTTCAACGCTCGTTCCACCCAATCAAGAGAGTTGTTCTCGGCGGACAATAACTGAGAGCTAGTTCTGAGCGTGCGCTGTGAACGACCGACGCCACAAACATGGCGCTCAGTGAATACCCCCTACCCTGAGAGAGCGCTCGGCGCTACGAGCCGATAGGGGACAGTAGGAACTTTTAGCAAACCGTTGTCATGTTCCGCGTACCGCACTACCGGAACCTTTGAAGCACGCTTTTAAACGCGCGCCCGGGTGATACCATAACCACGGGGGCGCGCGCTTTAAGAGCTGACGAACTTACACACCGTATATCTCCACAGCTTACGTGGGGTGACGTAATTGAGAACAGGGTTCTTCCTTGCTCCAGAGAGGCTTAGCTGGGTGGTGACCGGCACTCACCGTTGTAGCAGGCGGCCAGTTCGTTGGTGGTGGCCCCCGGTATCTCCAGGTACGGGCTGTCGATGTGCGAGAGCGAGGCCCTGGCGTGGTGGCTGATGCGGCACACGCTGTTGGCCGGGTCGCCCATGTCGAAGGAGTGGCAGCGGTACGGCACGTGCAGGCACACGCGACGACAATCCTCGAGCGTCGTGATGTTCTGGAAGACGGCGTCCACGGTCTTCAGGATCTTGCCGTTCACACTGCGGAACTCGCACAGGCGGACTGGATCTGGAGCGAAAAAAGGAACAAAGCTCAACGTATAACTGGCGCACGAATTTCTATAACCTATGCACGTTTTATGCTGGAGCAATACATGTTTATCTCGCTTTCCTTTTGTTGGAACTTACTTTTTTATCTGGTTTTTATGTATCAGACGAAGGTGTTTCTGATGAATGTTTACCATGTTGAATAAACTTGAGACTGGGGCAGAAATGAACATACAAGTCGAAGGAATAGAAAAGGTCAGGACGACGTCTCTTCTGATGCTTGTAGATTAACTCAAGAAATATCCACTGGAAGTATCAGAGTGACTGAGTTTTTTTTTTTTTTTAATGTTTGATTGTTTGTTTTCTGTCCTGGATTGCACAATTCTCTTTTGGGGTCTCTGAAGTGCTCAAAATAAGCTTGTCTAATACTCGCGCAAAAAACAGACACATCGTTTAAAAAAAAAGAAAATATTTGCAACCGAGACCTAAATTTGAAAGTTGTTCGAGATTAAGCTGATCTCTTATTCAGGGTCAAGCATATGACTCTTGAGGAAAAGTCTGTACTGCACCTCAACAGTCATGCATCTTGCCCCCCGACGATCACAGTCATATTCCCCCTCAAATGTAGGGCTTGGTTGAAAGTCGGTTCATTTTTCTAGTTTCAACCAATCGGGCAACAAACGTCTGTAAAAAATGTTTACGTAAAAAAAATATACATGTATAGACACGAGCGTCTACCATATTTGGGTGTCATTACGGTGAGGTATAGACCGGAAAACGTATTTTTATCTTAGCTTTAGTAGAGCAAACGCTGCTGCCGGTGAAATTTCGAAGCTTTGGAAAGGGCTTAGAGTAAACTGGAGCTTGTGAAGCAAGGTGTTGGAGATTCTTTAGGTCACCTCATGGAGGACAGAACGGTGTGCAGATTAGTCACCAGCGTTGCGTCAGGGCTCGGCTGTTCGGAGTGAGGACACGATTAGACACCAGTGTTGCGTAAGCGTTTGGAATGAGAACACGAGTTTCTGCCCAACTCTTGCGTAGCTCTGCGGTTTGCGTATCTCTGCGCAGTTTCTGCCAAACTGGAAACTGCGAGGTGCAACGGCCAGCTATATAACTAATTCTGGACCTAAAAAAAAAATATATATATATTTTACTAAAGTGTGTGCTTCTGTACTCTACAGAGGAAGCAAGAAATCATTGGTGGCATAGTTAACACGTGCTAACCCAACCGCAAAACTTCCAAAATTGTCGCCAGACTCGGAACAAGTTTCGCTGAATTCAGTTGGATGCCAGATCAAAGGAAGACGGAACCGCTCTCGTACACAAGTTTCAGGGTGGAGCCAAGCCAAGACGCTAAAGTTACATAGCGTGAACAGCCAGTACACACGTTCCTGGCGTTTCGAGATGGGGACCAACTAACTTCGTGTCTCTTCCACATTTTCTTCGCTGCTTCATTATAGACCTACGAACGTTCTAAAGATTGTCTACACCTGTCACGAGAGTTGGTTATTTGGAGAAAGTGATGCAGCAGCAGAGGGTTGCTCACACAGCTTCGCCCACCGTTCCAGACTGTCACCTTACGGTGGACCACAAAGAACGCTCCCCCAAAGCCAAACTAATGCTGTATGAGCGTCATATGACCTTTGGGAGGGTAGAAGCGACGTGCGGGCATATATGTGGTCACGTGGTACTTTGAAGGCGATGAATTGGCTAGGATGGTTCGTAGCTTTCGCTGCTGTCCATCATAAGGTGAGACGGAGTCTAGAACACTCAACGAAAGTACGCGCCTGAAAATACCTCGAGCGACGCAACCGGTAATCACAATCAGCGGCCTGTCTTGGTCTTTAGGGCCGATATTTTCCTTCGCCCGTAAAGATCGGCGTTCGCGCGGTATGAGACAGATCTGTATAGCTAATGTACGCGGAGATAGTAGACGTCCTCCAACAACTTTAAGAGGGGGACTTGCCTCCGCGTATAACCTCTTATTATTGAGAGTGCTCTTGCATGGAATAGAGCTTTTTATACGGAGTGAGTCTCTCGAAAAGTTTTGACAGATAAACAAGGGGTCACCGGTGAAGGTCACTCGTCTGGAGCACGAACGTAAATACGTCTTGTTTACGGATGGATACGTGTCGGAAGGTCAGTATGATTGCTTATGTGCTCTAAAAAGTTCTGCAAGTTCGCTTTCCTGCAAAACACAGAGACAACCAATCACGGCGAATAATAGAAGAATCCCAGCCAATGACAAAACTCAGAGTGTGGTTAGAACAAACACATGCGATGTTCGCATGCACGACGATCATGACGTTTCACTTGTTCATGTTCTTGCGCACATCGCATCTTACAAGTCTAATCGTATTTTGAGGTTTGTAATCTGCTGGTACGTTTGAACTGTTTGTTGCAGAACGCCTTTGTGTTCTGCGGGAAAGCGAATTAAGACATTTCTTTTAGAGTGTAGCACTTTCTGCAGTAGAAGAGTCGTTTGACCAGTTCAGTATGACCATAAACTTTGGGGGTCTGTATCGCTCATCCCGCGCCAGATGCTCGCCCTACGACGCACGTTTATATTGAAATCTGCAAGAACTATCCTTTGTTTCAACTTCAGCATAGAGGCAGTCGGCGCTACGAGCTAATAGAACCAATCAAACAGCGTGATAATCGCAAGTCACTAGGCATTTTCTGTTTATGATTGGTTCAGCGATGATAGCACACGTACAGAGCATGACAGACACCACGATTGTGCTTTCGACGCTGTGATTGGTCCCATCAGCTCGTAGCGTCGGCTGCGTCTGGACCACGATGTAAGATGTACATTACACTGTGGTCTGGTCTTGAGGTCAAACGAGCTGTAGTGATTTGTCAGATAATTTTTGCTCCATAGACTGTAACTATATGGCTGCTGCTGCTGCTACCCGTATCTGTATCCGAAAGGAAGCTCGCTGCTCGTACACAATCTGTGAGTTGCGCTTCCCCAATTCTATTTCGACGTTAAGGGGAGTTGACCAATAGCAACCTTCTTGGTTACTGCACACGCAGTCTTTCGCACTGTGCACACTTTACGATAAAGTCAGCAAGCTGCTCCACCACGAGGAAGAAATAAAAGCTCCGTCGTTCTTCCTTTTTAAATTGCACGCTGGACCGTAAGCATTCGGCTCATCATCCTTATATTCTATATAGAACTTCGCCAAAATCGTCTTCTGCGCGCTGCCATCTTCGTCTGCTGGTCTGTGGAACGCAATCTGAGCATGCAATGTTGCTCTGCTGTGCGGTTTATCAGGCGCTGCGCACGCGTCCACAGCTCAGTGACTCAGCACTTTTCGCCCGGGTGATAAGCGATGCAAAGGTTTATAGTCACCAAGAATGAAAGGTACTCGGGATGTGGCTTATAATATTGACGCTTCTTAATTTGTGATTTGAACGTCCTTCGCCCTTCTTATCGACTAGTGCCGCACTCTGGTTGCTGAGCACAACTGAGATGCTTGGCACTTCCCCACGTTTCTTAAGATATCATGACTTTAGTGCGCTTGTATCAAAGTCACTGACATCACAAGAAGCGCAGAGTGTGACCTATTATGTTAACGGTCTTGCTTCGTGTTTCGATTTTTGGCACCCTTATTGTCAAATACCGCAACCTTATTGGCTGAGCTGCTATAGTAAGATGCTCACTAATCGCCATGCTCTGCACTTCTTAAGCAATAAGTCAACATAATCAATTTGATTTTTTTTCCTTCGCTTTTGAACCTAATAAATGTTTGTTCGTACCTTTAGCAGGGTTGGCTAACCGATTGCTTAATAAAGCAGAGAACCTCCTCCACGGGAGGGACAGAGTGGAGAGAGTGCGTTTTCTGCTTCGTTCAGGGCACAGTTCGGCAGATGCCGCATTCCCGAAGCGATGAATCACAAGGTAAAAGTCTCGTCGGAAATTCACTCCACGTTTCTGTAAATTTGTGGCTGAAACGGAACCTCTCGGGTTTCTCGCCGTATCTTTCAAATAGCGGATATGTTGACAGCGCAACACATCGCAACGGCAGTTGGCATGCTAAAATTAAGAAAGAAAAATAAAGGTGCAAAAAAACAAAACAACAACAACAACATAACTTAGTGTTTGCCGTAGCGGGAATTTAATCTCTTACACGTAAAGTAAAGGAAACGATCGCGAAAAAAAAATAAACACAAATAAAAATAGGTAGGATGCGATCGGCGTAAAGTGAAAGTGGCGTTCACGTACACACAGTTCTCTCTCTCTCTGGAGGAAGAGTGTCGCGAAAGTTGAGTGACCCCGTAATGTCGGCATTTGTGGAGAGCTCTGACGCTCACGGATATACAGCCAACGGATTTTGACATTTAAACTCACCCTCTCCTCGCTCTCAGAGTGTGTCCGATAAGTTCTCCAAACTGGAAAGACGGAATTCTGTTTCTGTATTTGTCTCTTTTCTTCTTCTTTTTTTTTTTTTTCCGTGGGAGATTCGCGCAGAGGAAAAGAGACGAAACGAACAAAAAATAAGTCAACAATTACGAGTTCGATTCAGGATATCCTAGAGTTAGAACATTGACCGTTAAGCGAAAGTGAAGGGGCACCATAAAACCAAAGCCACCTAAAAAAAAGGGAAAACAAAACCATTAAAAAAAGGAACTAGACTCGCGAAAAGGACTTAATGGCACACGTTTCGCAGGGACGTAATAAATCGCCGTACGGCACGCCGCCGCTGCTGCTGCCGGACCTTTCGTTAAGACAAGGAGTTAAGAACGTTCCAGACAGTCGTTGGCTTCAGTAGTTTACCGATTCGGAAAGGTACCGCGCGAGGGGTAACGCTGATATATAACAATCAGAGGTGAGCTTTACGGCCGTCTTATCGGTCGTACAGAAAATACCGGACCCGAATTAAGGGAAGTCGTTAGAAAAGAGTTAAGATCGCACGACGGGAGCCGGACAGACTTAATCTGGTGGTCGGAAAATAGAAAATTTAAAAGACCGGCTGTAATGGGATTTCTACTATTTAGATTACGTCGGGTTTCTTTTTATTTAAATCAGACACGTTTTTGATAAGTATAGTATGCCGTGGTTGAAGCTGTTCTGTGAAGCATTATGAGGAGAGCCCGAAGACGGCATAAGCAAACTGCAATAGAGTGAGAAGCAAGTACTGTTATTGTCAGTGAAAACTTAAGGAACGCCGAGCGTGGCGAGTTCTGGCTATCATGTTATCGCTCTTTAGCCAATGAGAGTGTGGCAGTATAGCTGATAAAGATTACCAAACAACCAATCACGAAGCAAGAAGTGTGAACAGCGACAACAGTTAGCAGATCATGAATTGTTCCGCTTGGTCGAGATTGGAGTGACGTGGTTGCACATCGACAGTTTATTCGTTTATCGTCTAGACCAATAATAAAAAAAGTGGTATTGTATTCGGGACGCATTCGGAACTCGACTGCTTTACACGCGCTGAGACCGGCGAATCAGTTCATTACGTATTAGGATGTGTCGCTTTATACGGTCTTTTGACAATCTCATGATGCAACAACTTGATTTCTTGTGGAGTGATAATAACATGCTTGGGACTCGATACACGCTGAGCTCCTGAAGCTTTCGCGGACTGTGGAAAGATGCCTCCAGTGTTACAATACGCAGATCTCGTGTGGTTTTTTTGTGACCACAGCGAATGTCTAAAAAGCTATCGGGTCAAAACTAGAAAAAAAACTTTCTCAGTCGAGGAAGGCAAAATCTTCGAGAGAATCAGCAGCACTCACCGTCAACGCAATTGCTTTCGAGGTACTCGTTGGTTTCGGACGAAGGCACAAAGTAGCGGTCGCCAACCACCGAATGTCGGTCCATGTCGCTGAGGGCGCAGTCTCCCGATGAAGGCTCGTAGTTGGCCGACCGACACTCGAACTCGGGCTCGTCCAAACACAGGTCCATGCACTGTTCCCTCGACGATGCTCGGAGGGTCTTCCTCGCCAGGTCCCTGAGCTCGTAACCCGTGACGCGCTCGAACATCCAGTCGCGGCGGCATCGCCGTTTGCCTGCAAGAAAAAAAGAGTGGTCGAGGATCACCACTGAGATCTATAGGAATGGTAGTCGAATTCTGATGTCGTAGAAATTACATGAACGCATTATTGCAAGAGGGAGAGGGTTTTTCGAGACTTCTAAAGGGTACCACAGACTTCAAAACAACGTGTGCGAGTTTAAATTAAAGCAGACCACAAAAACAGTTTATCACGGCGAACGGTAGAGGGATCCCGGCCAATGGCGAAACACAAAGTACTATTACATCTAAAACAAAACAAAAAGGCGATATGCGCAGGTACAATGATTAAATAAGGTCACATCGTATTTTTTCCTCCCTAATCGTGTTCTGATCTTAATTTTCTGGGACACCTCTACCGCTCGCCGTGAGTGGCTCTCTCCATGTACTGCAAGAAATTGAATTCACAGACCTATCTTCAGAGTGTCTATAACTTATAAGCCTATCGGTTAAATTAGTCAAATGCCAGTCTAGCATCACGCGATTACGCTGCCTGCACATATACAGACACAGAGAGGGGAGTAAGGCAATAAAAGGCAAGCGATGAATTGATCCGGCGAGCATGTATGCTTCCCTGCCCTGTCAGTTTAGCGGCGACTGAAATATTGCAAAATAAAAACGTGCACAAATTTAAACAGCGCTAACACAAAGAGCCGCCACATAGCACGAGTGGTTAATACGATCTCGTGGCAGTATTCATTATTCAATTAGTGGTGCATGGGTATTGGTTCAAACTGAATCGCGCTATGTTACTTCTAGTTCACAGATCGGGAAGTAAGGCAAGGTGTCGCGGTCTTTCTTTGCAATGTGCCTAGGTGCTACAAGTGCAACTCTTTCAACTTTTTGAGAGCACCAACAAAAACAATACAATATGGTTATTAGCATATTCATTATTATATGCGGGCTGTACAGACTTTGTTGGTTTGTGGACGAGAACGAACTGTGAGGAGGACTGTATCAGGTTGATTGCGTAAATAACTTGAGGCAAAGAGGCGGTGTCGGTTTTCGGTTGAAGGCATTGTCGGTGCAGCACGGAATCACAGGGAAGTGCACCTCTTAAGAAAAACAATACGTTTCCTGAGCTCGTCATGAGCGTGTCACGAGTAATATCGTATTGGCATCCACACCCACCAGAGGGATCTTTAAATGTTATCTTTCTCATTGTCAAACCCAGGTTTAAGAAAACAGTCATTTTTATTGTTCCACGTAATTACAACTTTAATCTCAGACGTAAAATTTAATTCGAAGAAATTCATCATCCTTACACTAATATAAACTGGAAGCGACAATATGGGTGGATTCGTCAGGAAAAAAGCTTTAACACATGAGTTTGTTAAGCTTTTTTTCATGAAGCTCGCCTGATAAGATTTACGGCATTCAACGACGATCTGAGGCCCTGTGCTACACGGCGGGACCAAGCGGGATCAAAAGACCGGGAAAACGCCGTCGTCTGCGATTGGTCAGCGGCACGGCACCGAACAATCGCAGTAGACGACGTTGTCCCTGTCCTTTGGTTCCGCTTGGTCCCGCCGTGTAACATAGACCCGCGACAACCAAAAAAACATTCTCTGACCAAAAAAAGAAAAAAAGAAGAAGCGTTTTGTCAGAGGAAAGACCTTCGAGAGGTGAAGAACGACAAATACTAGTTTGTCAATGACCGGAACGATAAAACAAGTTAAAGTGGCCCATAAAACAGATTCTAAGAAAAGAAAGGAAAGTTGACTATCGAAGACACTGAGCTCATCGTGGTGCCCGTCCCGTCTCACGGAAGAAAGGTGGCAGTAGACCCGGACCACATCCGAAACATTGACGCGCTTCTCTTCGCGTAATTCTAGTCATCAATGCCGACTTGCCAACACTGCGCGCTACCAGGTTCTTTCTCGCGAGCAAAGCGTCACATCACTCGCTACAGGCGATAGAGCCTGACTGACACCATAGACTTGACACTGATACTACGTAGAGTTACACTTTTTCTCTACGTTTGTGTCGTTTTAGACGCGAAGGACACGTACCACTTTTTTTTCTTGGACACTTTTCCTTGCATGATCGCCAGACCACGGTCCCCAAATGTCAGTCATCCGCGAAACAACAAACGACCATCCAGAGGCAGGTATCTATTTCTTGGAGGTTAGCGTGCCCCCTCTCAAAAGGCTAGACTGGAGCACGGTGCCGTAGCAAAGAGAGCCAGGAATGGGGCGGCAGGTTTGCGAGGCAGACGAGAGAAAAAAAGAAAATGGTGGTCGCCGGACCGCAGCGAGAAGTAGACCGATGGCCATGACCCTCCGCCGACTGACCGGCTAGCCTGTAGAGTGGCGGCCGAAGAGAGCAGCGCTCTCATAAAGTAGTCCATCCAAGCGTTTCGACGTAAGCTGTTGCAGACGAGATGTGGGCGGTGGATGGGCGGCGCCACTTAACACACCATTGAGCCCGCTGATTGTATACATCCGAGTCTGACACGATAGAGCGACCGACTGAGCGAGCGTGCTGCTACACAAAGGGGGAGCTTGTGCAGCACGTGGAAGGTATAACTCCAGTTATAACGAATATTTCAGTTATAACGAACATTCCAGTTATAACGAACATTTCACTTCCTTCGCAAAAAGGTGACAGGTGCGATACATAACGCATCAAGTGAAGACGCCACCGACCGCCTAGCGTTCTTTACTGCGTATTCTATGCTGTACCTAAACGACTAACTACCCAAGTTCCTGTTTGCATTGCGTGAGATCTCGCGTATAAGAAAATAACGGCTTATTATCTAAATGAACAGAATGTTTACTGTGGAACGGTTTCAAGGTTAGCCGGTCATTGGTTTGCGAATACCTTCTTGGGTCATAAGTATATATACACACGGGGCGGGGACGAAAGAGCATTATCGAGTTTCGGTCCTGGGCGTATACATCCCTCGGAAACGTCCGCAGTAAATTACGGTCCTCCTTTTTATTTATTATTTCTAACTTTTATTTTTGTTATTGAAAGAGATGAAGGGCTAAGTAAATTACTGCCCTCGAAGATGTTTGCTGAGTTTACGATCGCGTGCGGCAGTTAACGCTCCGCAAATTTCCAGTAGGCGTGAAGAGAATCTTCATACGAGTTTGGCGTGCGACTATAAAAAGAAGCGGCCGTAAAACCGTATAGCGTAAGAACGCTTAGATAATGCGCCCCAGAAAGTAGGTCACTGCGCCTTATAATAATTCTAGACAGGCGTTCAGTTAAGAAGAAAAAAACAGAAAAAAAAACGGTATGTCAAGGTTGGAGTTGAAGCTGTGCAAGACATTTCACGTGACCCCCCCCCCCCCCCCCCCTCCCAAGTCACGTGAACAGGAACAAAACACAGATGGCGTCTGAAGTGGCATGTCTCACAATTCACAACATTGACGAGGTCCATCGACACCGTGGAGAAGTAGTATACACTATACACTGGACACAAGTCGATATATATTTTTTTTTTGTTTGAAGGGTATATTTTGTATTCAAACTCATAATTTTCGGGCACTGTTATTGGCGCACCATGGTTTGTTTCTCGTGACTGGACAGACTTTGATCTCCCCTGACACTTAACACGAGCGCTGCGTCAGAGTTCGGCCAGGCCTCGCGTCCAATCAACGCGGCGAAGGACGCTCGGCGTACCGGTCTCGGGGCCAATCGCTGAGTTGGCCCCTACAGAGGAGGCTGCTCGAGGTCTGTTTTTTCCTCGTATGACGTCACATTGGTTACACGCAAAAACTCTCTGCAGACATTTTCGAAGCGTATAGAAGTGTATAAGGCCAACTCAATTCACTGACGTCACACCACTGAGGTGGCGCTGCTGTCGGTACTGCGCATGCGCAAATTCTTCCCTCCTTCCGAGTCTGACTTTTGCGCAGGCGCAGTACTCACACCTGCTGTGGGCAAAGCCGGCTCGTTTGAAAACACTGTGTTTGTGTATAGAGCAAACGTGTTTCGAAACATGCCTGAGGGGTACCCGCAGACAATTCTGTCGTCGAGTCTGGAGCGAACACGCCGTGTCTTTTGTATAGACCTGTAGCTCTCAAGTTTGAGCAGCGCCCCTGGCGAACATAATCAGATACCCGTAGGTCGCGTTTCCGTTGACTGTCGCCTTGCGTCCTTTTCGAAGGCTCTGTTGGTGCGTATGAACAGACGCTGGGGGACGCTGACAGACGCTGGTTTAGGCCTGTAGGCCATGCATGATGAGATGTTAGGACGCCGCTTCAAGTGAGCATTAAATGGTCGCGTCTCGCGGATGCTACTGGGAGGCACCTCTTTTGTGGTCGTGTCTCGTGTACTCTACAGCGTTACCTGGTCCAGAGAGACAGGCCTTTGGTGTGTATACGTGCAGGAGTGCGCGGGCCTGCGGCTCAAGTCGCCCAACTCACCGAATAAACAGATCTTCTGGGCGTAGAGCGTAAAGACCGGGAACTGGGAGACGGCCAGGGAGGCCGGCCTCTCGGTGGCGCTCGACGTGAAGAGCACGCACAGTCCCGTCTCGAAGTTGATGGACTGGCAGGTGGCGTTTCTCTTGCAGTGGTTCAGACACTCGGTGAGCTGCAGCGTGCCGGGCTTCAGCTCGATCGTGTCCGACGGTGCACTGTACACTGAACCCGTGATGACCTCGAATGTGATGTATCCGTTCTGACAGCCTGCGGGAGAGCAAAGATCGTATGGGATTAAATTTTGAGAGATATATACTATATAAGCATACACTGCGCGACACTGTTAGTGCGCACACGGCAATGACGATTGTGTCTTTCGGATTCGAAAAGGTATGCTGACGGGTGCCAAGCGTAAGCGCTTACACACACACCAAAAAAAAAAAAAATGTAAAGGAGTTTTTTTTTACGTTTAAAGAACTCTTTCAGCTCATGAAGAACAGCTTCGACCCAAGCACTATCGCCCCCTGGAGCACTAAAAAGGCAACTGGGCGACGAAAAACTCTTTCGCATAAAAAAAATAAAAAAAGAGAGCTTAAAAAAATTATTTATAGGTTTTTTAACAAAGAACCTTTTTAGAGGATGCTTAAGAGACCTTGTTAGGGTGCAAAATATGGACAGACCTAAGAACCCCTAAAAGTTTTTTTACGACCAAATTTTTTTAGGGTGTACGTTGTTGTCCTAAATTAGCGCCTTCCACCATGCTAGTAGATATGATGAAATGCCTTTCAATTTTAAGATAAAAAAATTGTTTGCGCAAGCACTGCCGCGCTCTGTACACTGTGTGTGCCGTATGCCATAACGAGAGCGAGATGTTGGAGCATGTGATGTTTAAATGCACGGGGCTTCGTACTGCCCTCCCTGAGGGCGTTTGGGGTTTGGAAGTAGTACTGGCCTTTCCTTTGAGGATGAAAGATTAGAGAAAGAAGGAATGATTGTATTCACAAAGAGAAAGTTAAAATAAATTGACGGAAAAGGTCGAGAGAAGCGTGATCATGCACAAAATCGGGTGAGTAGACGATGTAACGCGACTGAATCCAGAAAAAAATGTAAAGGGGAGGAACGTAAACGTCTATTTGATAGGTGGCGCAAGCTACTGCCCAATGCACAGCGAAAAGCCAGTACCATCCACCATCCAGAGCACGTTCAATAATCCGGAGTAGCGTAAGCTCAAGAAATGCGATAACGAAACGCGTACGCAGCCTATGCAACATGAACCTGAAAAAACATACTAAAGCCGACGTGCGCTGCTAGCGCCGGTAGTCCTTACAGGTAGTCAAATGGCAGTCAGCGAGCTTTGAGAAGTAAAGCGGCAAAGTGTTTTTGCGTTTTGTTTTGTTATCTGTTGTTCTACGTTTATTTGTAGAAGTTTTTTTGAGCGGGCACATGCAATGTTCTTATATGTATACAGCCAAGTGGTTTGCAGCCTCAAACAACATGTCTCATAACATGGGCATTCAATAAATCACGATATTAAAAACAGCAACAAAACAGGAGGTTTCACAGCTTTCGCGATAAAAGTCAAACCACAGATTTATTTAAAAAAAATAATAAAAACCTTAGCAGAGCGTGGTTTCGATCCACGGACCTCTGGGTTATGGGCCCAGCACGCTTCCACTGCGCCACTCTGCTACGAGCATTTGCGGTCGTATATTCCGTCTCACTAGTTGTGTGCAGTGCAGGCGAAAGCAACGCCAGGCGAAGAGGGAAAGGGCGAGTACTAGGAAGGCGGGACGGGGGACGACGATGGAGGGCGAGGGGAGTAAGGCAGAGCACTGGGAACGTTAGAGACGAGGAGAGGTTTCTATCCTCCTTCCCAGCCTTCCTAGTGCGTGCCCTTTCTCCCCTCGCCTGGCGTTGCCTTCGCATGTACTGCATGCAACTGGTGACATGACGAGAACGGCGGGGGGAGCGTGGGTTGGTTCTGCCCGAGCATCCCACCTTCGACAGCGCTTCGTCGTTTCGTGCGCACTTCAAGCTCGTGCGCGCAGCGAAGGCACGGCGGACGGCGTGGGGGTGCGGGCGTTTGAAAGATACGCACCGCCGGTCTCACTCTGTCAGTGACTACAGCGGCGTTAACCTTCCACGTGTTCAATGGCCTAAGGTTATTCCCAATCTTTCGTCACAAGATATCGCGACACGTGAGTATTTAGATTACAGATCAATTGAAAGCATGAAGACCGACAAATTTATTATCAAAAATGAGGTAGACTGATACAAAAGCAACAGGGAATACGCTAGGTACCCGCAAATGTTTTTGAAAACCGACCAAGTGTACGAACAAATTAAAAAAAAACAAGTATTGCAACAAAGAAAAATCAGTTAATAAAAAAAGTTTCCGGTTTATAAGTGTGTGTGTGTTAAAACACACACACACAAAACATTAGACGGGTTTCAAGATATTTAACATATAGAAGAATGACACTGCTGTCCGCGAGAAATCCTGTAGCAGAGTGGCGCAGTGGAAGCGTGCTGGGCCCATAACAGGTCCGTGGATCGAAACCACGCTCTGCTAAGATTCTTTATTAATTTGTTATTTACAGAATTTTGGCACATTGTAGTAATCACAGTATATTTAAATGACTTGTAGTGCTGCTTGACAGAAATGCGACCCTAGCTCGTGTTCTTCGTAAGTTTGTTAAGGGTACAAAAACTATCGATTTGCAAAAATGTGCAACAAAGTGGGCCGATGATTTAGCACAGCGTTTGACTAAAAAAAAAAAAAAACTAAAAATACGGAGGACTAGACAAAGGGAGGCACACACAGCGTTGTGTTCGTGTGCCCCTTCACCTGGTACTCCAATTTTTCGCACTCCTTTTAACACAAGTTACAATAATATGTTTTAACTGAAACGAACCGTCAGCAAGTAGTAAAAACCCAATCCTCAAGATGGGTGTTTTACGCTTTGGGCAGAAATGGGTGGTACTTGATATACAAGTATACGAAATATGTATTTAAAATACTTTGAGCAGTTTGTATTTCATATTTCATAAAATATTGTCGAATGTAGTTGTCATTTGTATTTAAATAGTGAAAATTGAGTATCTCAAATACAGCCCAAACACAATTTTGTGCAATGCGCTTTGCAATGAAATGCAATATTGGGCTCTCTTCGCCATGGGATTCATATGCAAAGAATACAAAAATTGCTGCTCTTTGATTGCAAGAAACTTGAAAGAAAATAACAAAGGAAGGGGAGAACAAGGAACGAACGTGGGTACAATAGTTGAATTTTTGGTTGATTGATTAAATTTTTTTAGACGTTGCCTTAACGACATATTGTTTAAAGGGGCTTTACTATCTCGCAGTGAATGCATTGTGCTTCCCGACGTTGTACCCACCAATCTCAAGACAAACACATGTTATTCTCTTCATTCGAACACGGTATATTTTTTTTTTTATTTTTGCCCAGGTATAAATGCAAGTTTAAGGTCTCAGACAATGCGAACGAAATGCACTCGTAAAAGTATTTGAAGGCGATCAAATACGCTTGCTGTATATATATCTTGTATTTATATACTTCTTCGTAAAGTGTAATTCAATTTGTAACTAAATACTTTTGTCAGAATTTGTTATTAAATAATCTTTTGAGGTATTTCATATTTTTATTTTGATTTATTTTCTTAAAGTATTTCGCCCATCCCTTCTTTCGTCGAACATATTAAGTCACCTCATACCTTAGTCTGCTAAGCGGAATATTATTTGGGGTTCATTTGTGTGATGTTCACTAGCTGCGATTTTTGCTTAAATAATTGTAAATAGTTCAGACAGGATAAACATAGGGACGGACAGAACTGTTCTGTCCGTCCCTCTGTTTATTCCTTCTGTTTTTATTTAACTTCACCAATGCGCTCACGTCGAACTAAGTTCAGACAATATTGCACAATATCGGAATGATTATGTGCGCGTGGACATGAAAAACGCGTGATGCAATAGAACAATTCTTGTTGGAAGTTATTTCTTTCAGCAAAATATTATTTGTTGGCTCGTTTCTGTACGTAGACTGCGGCCATTTTTGATTAAACAGGTGCGGTCGTTAAGTTTGAATAGTATGTTTAGGATCAAAGGGAATACAATCCTCCACATTGGTGAAACATACAAGTTGATACATGCAGAAGGTATTCTCTGAAGTCCGCGACTCATAAAACAAACACTCCAACCATTAAAAAAGAAAAAGTATAAAGGAAAATCTTTAAAGTAACGAACAGGGTACGAATAACTCGCGTACAAATAATTCATCACACTGTAACAACCGTGACCTTGGTGCGGGAAAATGAGGAAATTTTCAAGTCCAAGAAAAAGTCAACAATAGAAAATTCTCTTCGAGATTTTGACCATTTTTTCGCTAGTAAAAGAAAGTCTCATTTGAGATGTTCTTTTACTGTTGTCTTTCTCTTCAAATTGTAAATGTTTTAATTTTCACGTATCAAAGTCTCGGGTGTAACATTATGATTGATTATCACCAGTTCGACTGCACACACACTGTTATTTCGTTCATAGAAATAATTATTCCAATGAAGCCACTTAACAAAGCAAATACATTTGTTTTGTATATTGCTGATTCGAATTTCTCTTCGCCAAATATAGAGCGACATTTCTTTTTAGATCGGTTGATATGCGTCCCATGCATATTTTTTTTTAAGTGTGTTGCTACGTTTGCTTTTGTTTTTATTTAAAAAAAAAATAATCTGCAACGGCCACATCTGGTAGCGCCCATAACCCAGAGGACTGTGAATCGAAAACACGCCATGATAGTTTTTTTGTTTTGTTTTTTTGTAAAATTGCAGCTCTTCTTTTTTGCAAAGTCGCAACAGCAACGCGTATTTTACGCACAAAGCGGAGCTTATTTCAAAGGGTCAGCAATCAGCAGCGGATAACCCTTTCAGCAAACGGTAGCGCACGTGAACTGTTTCTATTACCTTGGGCGTGCGATCATATATCACTACTGCGCAGACTTGTACGTAATCCGTTACAAGTAACGGAATTACTTGTAATCCATTAGAATGGCAATCTGGGCTAGTTGGTTCATGATAACTTTCAGGGCGCCGAAAATACACAAGGACAAGCTACAAGGATAGCGCCTTGTTCACGTCTCTTTTCTTGTAGCGCCTTGTTCACGTCTCCTTTCTTGTATCTTGTCCTTGTGTATTTTCGGCGCCCTGAAAGTTATCAGTTAGTTACTTGTAATCCCTTCATTTATGAGTAAATT